GGGCATCTCAGTCCTCACGCCAAAAAAAAAAAAAAGATACCGGATCAACAGCTTTCCCCCCAAAAAACACCTTCTCCAGAAGTTTGTTTTGGCTCAGGATTCCCGGGTGGCCCGTGGTTCCCGCGGGAGCGGGTGCGTGGTGCCCACTCCAAAAAATCACGCCGGGTGTGGGAGCCTTTGGGTGCAAAGCCCCGTTTCAGCTGCTTTGGGAATTCTCCTGACAGCGCACCTTGGATAATCCCATGTGCGGTGCCCGGACAGGGAACGTCGTCAGGGTTGTGCAAACATCATTTGCCTGGACACACAGATGTAGGACTGCAAAGCGTTGGTACTCAAAATTCAGTATAACTTAGCCTGATACTCGCTTAATAAAACATTTGCTTTAGATACCATTAACTAAAAGGTTGCTAATCCAGAGTCCGTGTAATGCTCGCTTTGTAGAATCGGCGTGACAGCAAAATCAATGAGTGGTGGTTGCCTTAAATTAAATCAGCGTTGATCAATTTAATGTTACTTTATTTAAGCATAGCCCTACTGTATATTTTACATGTTGCGTGCCATATCAATCAAGGGGATTTTCAAGGACTGTGGCCGCACGGCATAGTGTAACTCCCTATTTACATACTTTCAGACACCAAAAACTTCAAAACAAGTTTTCTGTAGCACATGCGCTTACCTCCCAGAAAGCACTTTCCCACCATCACCAGCAGTAATGCAGGCTTTATGAGGGACGGCAGGCAAATTTGTAATTGATTAGAAACACAGGTTTAATATTTTTTTTTTGTTGTTCCTAGAGCAACAGACATCTGAATGTTCTAATTGAGAAGCTCAGATGTCACAGTCAAGATCCAATTTTCCCAGCTCCGGGCATGTCCATCGCCCATTGAAAACATCGTTAACGCATTCTCACATAAATTATTGTCCGACACAGGAAGCTGCAATACCTTTCCCCATTCATCAATATCTTTGCATACTCTGAAAGAAAAGGAAGCATTCCACTAAAAAAAAAATGACAAATCAGAACACCTAGTTCCAATGTCTGGAAGCACTTGTCAGAATTTATTCTTTTGGGGGATGAAAAGATAGCAGTCTATCAATAGCAGCCTTTTCTCTTAAATGAGCCACATTCTCCCAAAGTGGCCCACGACAGCCCAACTCCTCAATCTGAGAAAAGCAGAAGCATGTTTGGAATTAAAAGGGGAGGGGGGGGGGGATCAATTCTGTCATCATATTTAGGCTTCAAGAGATCTCAGTGGGCCCAGGGAGCCTTTCATAGCAGTTAGGCTGCTGAATGAGAGCATAATCTCTTTACAGTTTTTTCCTCCTCCTCTCAAAGTGGCTGGGATCTTTTCTGTGAGCCCTCCTGCACGTGAATGGTGTGGCTAATAAGCCTATTAATGAGGTTCCACAGCGGAGTGTGAATAGGTAAATAAGCCCCAATCTGTTGAGGTTCAGGAGCAAGGGCAGTAAAGCCATCATGAACTAAAGGTGACAGTTTGAACTGAAATAGGAACAACAGCTCCAGGTTTCAAGCGAAAGAATAGACAGACAAGGCACACATTCAGGCTCCTTCTACCCCCTACCGAGTCCTATTTTCTTTCCCATTCTTCCTCCTTTATAAAATGTCTTGAGTAGTCACCCATTTTTTCAAAAGCTCTTGAGACGTCCTTTTTCATCCTGGCAATGATACATCAATAGGGAGGAAGGAAAATGAGGACACCAATGCTCCTTTGCACCGCAAGTTTCAAAAGCAGGGACGGTGCTGTCCCCCCTCGCATGGGGGAGTGGGGAGGGGTGGGGGGAGAGGAGAAAGAAAGTTAAATTGAATCTTTCAGCCCTGCCAGCTCTTTGTCACTGCTGTCAGCTGGACCCTGGTCCCCTCTCCGGACGCAGGAGGGATACAGTTAATGTTCAACAGGGGCAGGGTCCGAGCGAGGGGCTCCAGCTGCGGGGAACGCACAGCTGGACTCAGCCCCATCTCCACCGCAGAGGTGGGGACACCAATTC